AAAAAAAAAGAACCTCTGTTTCTCATTCAGCATTTTCGTTTTCAAAGGAAGGTTTTAACACCAAGCCCTGCAGGAGATTTATTTTTAAATGGATAATAGCCCCCCTGTTTACCTACATGGGTCAAGTGCTACCTTGAAATTGGAAAGCACTATATTAATCAAGTTCTACTCGAGCTGTCAGAAACAATACAGAGTTAGAGAAAAGCTCCTGTGTTGTCCGAACAAAAAGGTGGGTGTTTGGGCTACTTGGTGGTGCCAACAAGTTACACAATTTTGAAAATTGCTGGTAGACTGCCACGTCTCCGTAAGTGCAGTATGAATGAGAAACTCTGAAGCATAAAACAGTGCTTCATTGTCTGGTTTTATTTTTATTGTTGGAATACCTAGGGGAAGTAGGAAACTCTGCCTTTCGCATTAGCCAGAAATAAAAGATAGAGGATATACGCACTAGAAACTAACATGGATTTTAGTTGCATGTGGAAGATTTGACTTGTCACTCGCTCAATTACACAAAATACTAATGCCGTAAATCGTGGATATATGGCCAATTAGGCTGCTTTAAACTGCTAAACATGGAGACAGGACATGCCATTTGTTAACATAACTGTCGCATTCTTTATGAAAGGTAGAACAAAATACCCCCTTCAAGTGACTGTAACAAGGATCTGTTCAGTTCTTCATAAAGAAATCATTATTGTAAGAGCAAAGAAAGCTACTGAAGTTATGGCAAGTGCAAACAAATTCCCCATGCACATGTGAAAAAAAAAAATTAGGCATGTCTTAAGACCTGTAAATAAGCAAGCAATTAGGACAGCAATCATAAATGCAAACAGCTAGCTCTGACTTTGCCACGCACAGAATTTTCTCATAATAGTAATTTAAAGTCTGGGCAAGAAAGCATTTTACTCACCACCTGAAAAATTACAGCCTTGTAATTCAACAACAGGTAGAGATACAATAGCTTTTGGTCATTTAGTGGTGACCTGTACCATTACGCCCATACATCCTAGATGGAGTTGATCAGCAAATGTCATGAATTTCCAGCACATTTTCAAACAGACACAATTAGCACAAAGTTTAATACCTTGTGTTCCTTATAAATCCCAAGTTCTTTCTCTTTTGCTATTCTTGCTTCCTTTTCTGAAAGATGACAAAAGAGTAACCAGCATGAAGATTACACAGACTGCATATTTCAGCAACGCCGGCCAAAAGGAGCATTTCAGTCCTACATACTTACCTTTTTGTTCTTTCAAATAATCTGCATTTTCTTTCATCCACAGCTCTGCTTTTATCTGAGCTTCTGTTTCGTTAAGTATATACTACAAGACAAAACAAGTTTATCTACTCTTAGAAATCAACTTGAAAACCATAGAGCAAAACTGAATTGAAAAACCACTGGCAAGGTCAATTCACATTCTGTTTTTAAAAATACATTAATAAAAGAAAGTATGATTGAGATGTGACAATCAGAAAGCATTTCTAGTAACTTCTAAAACTGGCAAAAAACGACGACATGTTTTCAAAAAACAGTGCTTGATTTCCAAACTATGATGGGGTGGCCAAACACGATCCAGGACTCATTGTATGTGGTCTGTAATTAACCTAAGATGATCCTGGGTTTATGCTCTTTTTCAGATATGAGAGGGTATCATGACAACACAGTCACCTGCAAGTAATTCTGTGTGTTGATGGTGGTCTGTAATTCAAAACAGTATGGGAACCATTGCCCTGTGCTACCAAACCAGAAACATGTGTCTTCTGGGTAGGTTTCTGCGAAGGTTTAGGCACAGTTACTGAGATTATTGGCTCAACAGTCACATCTGTGTGAATGAAACCAGCTTAGATTGCTGGGGTTTTAGTCCTCAAAAGTTTAGAGAGTTGGGTTCAGCAACCACATCTAGGCTTTTTTCAGTTAAATCCACTTAGACTCAGTAACATCATTAGTAGGTGTGGAGCTGTAAAACACTTCTAGAAGTATTCAGGTGAATTACAGAAATAGACAAACAGGTATGTAGCTGGCAGGCTGGCAGGCTGGTAGATAAATCTCCCCTTCAGTTACTTAAATGTGAAAATAAACCCAGTATTTAGCACAACTGTCTGTGAAACAAAAGTTGTCTACAGTCGATGCTGTCTGCGAGCGAAGAACTTCTGGAGAACAGAAAAGACAAATTGGGTCATCCTTCATGAACAAGATGCTTTCTTTTTAAGCAGTAGACCCAGGACTTGTAAAATGATGTTTAAGTGCAAGAAAGACAATCTGAGATTTCTCCATCTTATGGGTTTGAGAATTTGAGTTTTTCTCTGAAGTAAAAGGTACATATAGGATTTTACGAGACAAATAACTCCAGTCAAATGAAACTAACGCAGGGAGGAGTCCTTCCTCCAAGGGCAAATGAGGCGAGCAAACAGCTGCGCAGGCCTTGCTTTATCAGACCAATATTTTCACTCTTTCATCTGCTCCTATTAAAGGTGAGCCATAACAGTAAAACTCGCTTCCTCCTAGCTCAGTTACTCGCTCTTCTTATGCTTTTAGGGAGTTCATAATCCTGGGCTTGCAATATTACAGTCTATTGCCATGGAAATGAACATGAGGTCATAAAAGCAGAGTTATGACCTCATCAGAGAGCCTACGAGGAAGAGAAAATGTGCTTGTTCTTCCCCCGCGATTGTTTAAATTATGGGCCTGGTAAATGGAAAGCCCTCAGCCTCCCCGTCCCCTCCACACCACGTCTGCTTGATTCATGAGGCCCCTCCTAATGTCCAGCCCAGCAAAACCCGCTTCACGGCTGAAGCCAAGCTGAGCATTTTCCTGCTCCTTCATCCACCGTCAACAATGTTCTGCCGATCAGCAACCCCTACGCCACATCACTACCCTCCGTGATTTTGCACCCCGAAAGGAGTTTTTGGCATTGGCGTTATCTGTTCAAATTACTCTTGAAACCAGCACGGCGGCTGGAGAGGGCACTGGGCTCAGACTCAGGAGAGCCAGACTCTGTCGCGTGTTCAAGCATCAATCTCCTCCATGGCCTTATTTTCCACAGCTGCCTGTCTGTCACATTCAGGCTATATAATAAAGGGTATCTTTCGATGGCACACAAATAATAATAAACCCAGAAAATGTTACTGAAATCTTTGAAAGAACACAGAAGCTGTATATGCTGGTTTTACAGTTTGGTTTCCATGGCAGCCTCCTATGTTGAATGTATCTTAATTAAATAATGAATTTAGAGCTCCACCAAACTTTTACAAGTCTTTCTTCAGAATAAAAGACATTCTAAAACATAATTCTTTCAGCATGATAACAGCGAAGAGCAGCAGCAGTCCCATATATATACAACTCGGGTAAGGAACACCACATTCACAGGCTTGTGTGAACATTAGTTCTGATCTCAGATCCCTGAAATCACGCGAATCTCTCTCCAGATCAGAGCGAAGAGGCAGCGAGGGGAGAGGATAAAGCAGATAAGAACCATTTTTTATTCACAAATATCCAAATGCTGAGAGACCCAGGATACAAGGGCACCTTACCCGATCTATTTCACTGTCGTCGATCCCACTCAGATCTAATTCACCATCTCCCGTATTCTCACCTACAGAAAAGAACGCATTTTAAATTAAGTGGATGTTTGCTCAAAATCAATCGCAATTCAAGTTCTACAGTGAAGTAACACTTAAGAATCATCCTTCATAGATTTGCATCCTTTTGCCTTCATCCAGGAGGTTTAACGTGTTGCTGAGTATTTTCAATGCTGAGGTAGATGCACGCACAAATTCATCATGCTGAATTCATTTAAAATTCAGGAATTACAGAATCACAGGATGGTGGGGGTTGGAAGGGACCTCTGTGGGTCACCCAGCCCAAACACCCTGCCCAAGCAGGGTCCCCT